TAGGGGTTGAGGGGTTTAGGGTTTAGGGTTTGAGGGGTTTAGGGTTTAGGGTTTAGTGGTTTAGGAGTTTAGGGGTTTAGGGTTTAGGGTTTTAGGGTTTAGGGTTTAGGGTTTTAGGGTTTAGGGATGAAGCGACCGCAATGGTGTTGGAGGTAACTTGGCAGAAGAATGGGGATATGAGCTCTGGACATGTGCGACATGTCCGACTTAGACTAGGGATGAACAGCTGGGGAGGTGCACTCTATCTCTTACGTGACATGCCTGAGACCATGGACTGATCATGCTGACATCGAAGAAATATCAAACTCGGTCAGGATTCAGGGCGCCATAGCTAGCACAAGACAACAGAATCATATTCAGCCTACCTACCTTTATGCTTAGCGGTTTAGGTTACACAGCAAGTGTATACAGCCAGCACAATACTAGTCATCGCCGCTGCTTTTGATGCAGGACTGCGTTGGTGCAACATCCCGACAGGGCTTTGCCGGCAATGCTGGTTTGCCGGACCGCTGTTTACTTCCTGGGGGTAGTGAACTTTAGGGTTGGGTTGCGGGTTTCTGGCATCCTTATTTCTTTTCTTTTTTGGTTTAGGGCCCTAAGCCCTAAACCCTCAGTTTAGGGTTTGGGCTAAGGTTCCACATTTCTAGCTGGCCTTCGTAAAGCGATTCCCTGACTTGGTGAGCAGCAGGACTAAGATTAGAAGAAGGATGGTTTTGGGTTTAGGCTTCAGGGGAATCTAAAGGGTTCAGTGCCGGCTGAGGGCTCAGGACTCTTTAGCCCTAAGCCCTAAGCGATAGGTATGACGACTGAACTGCGCGGAACTCCGAGCACTGAATGAAATGCTGTAACCCTAAAAGCCCTCCTGGCGGATAAACTTTCCTTTTCGTTTGGTTCCTTCTTATCTTATGGTTTCCTTAATTATATGAGTCCGAGAAAAGATAGGTTTTTGGTTTCCAGGGAAATCTTGGAGTCCCAGCTCATCAACCCTTCCGTCTCTGGCAGCTTCACGCCCTGAGCAATGAACCTCTAGCCTTGTATGAAGCGGTGATGTGATGAGCCCGCTTGGGGGGGAGTGTTATTTCAGGGAAGGAATGCCGAGCGAACCGGACGGTTTAGGGTTTAGGGTTTAGGGTTTAGGGTTTAGGATTTAGGGTACATGAGGATCCTACTTACAATCATCAAACTGCCTGCAAAAAAAGGCATGCAGCCAAATTCCCGACACTCTTCAAAGCCGCAAATCCTAGCTGCCAAAATCCGGCAAGCGCAGGTGATCCTTTTCTTTCAGTGCTTCGGCTGGCCCCCAAATCCAATCTGTTGATGGACAAGACCCCCCGTGAGCATCATGGCATGGAACACGGGACAGCCCACATGAGACGACTCTTAAACCCTTAAACCCCAAACCCTACACTGTGACATAAACCCTGAATCCTAAACCCTAAACCCTAACCCTAAACGCTACAGCGTGACCTCAACCCTCAGCTCTAGTAGGATGCTCTGCCGCCTTTTGGCTGCGGTGCGACGACCCCGGCGGAGCACTTGCGCAATGTCTTCACGAAAAAGAGGCTCTGCTAATTTTTCAGGTCGGGGTCTGTGGGATTTAAGGCCAGTCCAGGCCTGATGGCGGTTGTTCGATACATGCAAATACTATACATACATGCATGCATACATACATACATCCATGCACGCATGCATGCNNCCTAAACCCTAAACCCTAATGTATGCATGTTTTTGTATAGATGTATACACAGAGTTGAGGATGGGCTTCAACGACCAGGAGATCGTGGCGCTTTCGGGTGCCCACACCGTGGGTCGAGCTTTCAAGGAGATCCGAAGAGCCGAAATTTCGGGCTTCTATGGTTTAGGGTTTAGGG